AGGTGCTAACACCTTAATTTTATATTTTACCAGAATCATTTTGGAAAACAAAGAGGCAACCAGCAGACACCTGCTTTTCATAGAAACATACAAATGAAAAGGAAGCAACATGATGCTTCCTGGCTTTAAAGACCATGTTAAACATAAAAGAATAACATAATAGTAGCGAGTTCAGGTTGTTGAGAGTGTTCATTGCTCTTTGCAGAGTTTAATTTTGAAAGTGGTTGTGTAAAGCTTCACCTCACAATCATCAGGCATTTTTCATAGGTGGCCACCAGATGCAGAGTGGTAACAGAATTAAAAAAGCTGACTTTCAGCAGCGGTCTACTATAAATAAAAGTCACAAAATAAGACAGCCTGCAAAGTATTATCAGTGAGCAACACAGAAGCAACGCTGTGCTCTGAAATATTACATGAAATGCTATTTGCAGGAATTAATTCAGACTACAACTTCTGTGAACAGTGAAGGTCACAATATATGTCAAAACCATATATAATTCCCCCAACTCTGCAGTTCTAAAATTGCAGTCAGATACACGAGCACGCTTTGCCCTGGATCAACAGCAAGGACTATCTACACCCACAGCAACCCTGCCCGATAGCAAAGGCGTCGGGAAGTTAGCACTGAGTTGTAGGGGCTGATTACAGGGAAGGTTGGACAAGTCTATGATTAGTAAAAAGAAACAGGAATTAGACAGAGTAGTAACCTCAGCTAAACAGAGTAGTAACCTCAGCTAAACACAAGAGGGAAGCTGCCCTGTCTGCACAAATACTTGCCTCTAGTCTTTAGTAAATAAGGCCAACATCACTATTAATGTTATCAATCATTTGGTATATTTCTATTTTATGCCTTAACTAAGTTTGCCATACTGCAGTCTTGCAGCTGGACTGTTTGTTAACTGTCTGGAACAAGAGGAAAGGGCCAATGTTTTTCACAAAGAGCAGGCAGGCAATATGGCAGCAACAAGGACTAGGGCTCTTGAAATTGCTGACAAATACAGAGCAAATACTGGTAGCCAAATCCTCATATGGAATCTACACCCAAACGCAGTTATGAGAAAGTTGAATGGCAGGTTTTATTCCCCTCAGTCTTGTGCTTCTCATGCCAAGCTTCCCTCTTTGTTTTCTTTTCTTGATCAACCACGTCCAGGCTGAATGTCTGACAGCAGTCATATTTCTCTCAGGTGGAGTGGTAATTAGAACACACAACAAAAAGACCAATTACATCATTAGTCAGTAGATAGAGGCCTATGCTAGTTAAGGAGTGTGGGTTACTTATTATTTTAAAATTTAAATCCTGTTTTCAGCCATTATGCTAATCCACTTAAGGTTTGGAGTTCTCCAATTTTTCTTCACTGTTTTATTCTGTGACAGAAGGCTCTGTCATAAAACGTCTCCCTTTATCTGCCTCTTCTCTATTTCCCTCCCCAAAAACATATTCTAGCCTTGACAGATAAAAAAATGCAGGGTTAAAATTTAATTTATACACCTATACTTGCTATATCCAATAGGCGTAAAATATGACTTCAAATTATATGAAATGGGTAGAAAAACTAAACGAAAATGAATAAATGAAAGAATTTCATTCAATATCTCAAGTGTAAGAGAGCAGGAGTTTAAAACTTCAATGCCAAAACTGAAGTCTTACTGCTGAACAGAATACATGAAAAAGTAATTTATCAACCTGTTATGAAATTCTGTGGTAACCTGCTTCCAAGTTCAGTGTATTTTCTTGAAGGAGCTGTAAAACACAAGGTATTTTTCATAATCTGGATTGGTTTATTTTTACGCATTCAGGTGCGATATTTAATTAACACATTCAGTCTAAAGAACTATTTTGACCATGCTAAACTTCCTGAATATTAAATATTCAATACCGTAAAACATTTTGGATGATGTTAGATTTTTATCCAACTAACTTCCTAGTAAAATTATACAAAAATCAGTAAATCTGAACCTATCTTTTCATAAAGTTCTGCAGAACATTTTAATAATACACTTCCTTTCCCCTGATATAACTGCAGGGAAAATTGAATTCTAACGTGTAGATTTTATTAGGAACACAGTACCAGCATTTTTAACTATGTGTATTCTCATCCCTCCTCACGACTTAGGCAGATGCATCCAATTAATGATGAATCATTCTACATACATTTCCTGTTTAGAACATACTGGCAATACCAGCATAACGACCTACAGAGCTCGAAGTGGGGAAAAGAAACTCACTTGGTCACACATCATCACCATTTTTGTTTATAGACCCCAAGGAAGTGATTTTTACGCTGGGCAGTGTGGGTGTCCCAACAAAAAAATTGTTCACTTCAGATTCCTAGATGAACTATCATTATGCTATTTCAAAGAAATGACACTATTGTATGCAGATAGGGATGTACATGCTACAAATTATATACAATATACAACTAGAGATCACTACGAGAATTAAGGAAAACTTGATTTATTGTGATCCTAAGCACTACTCAGCATATTTGCAATAAAATCATGTGTGAAGGAAATTGAGGATATTTTGATTGCTAAGCACCATTTAAGAAGAGTTTTCTTCTGTACCATTTTACTCACTGGAAGTTGGGCCACGATTCCACAGAAGGTGCTGAAAAAGATAAGAATGAACTAGACAAACAACCTGGTTCTGTTTATCCACGCTGTACCTTCAGAACAAGTGAAGAAAAGTGCCTCCCAGTGTCAAAGTAAAATAAAGTCAGAAGAATATCTGCTTGTATCCTCAACTGAAAATTTTGGTCAAGTTCCACTTTCTGAAGTGGAGAGTCCATTCTCATTCCAACTACTTTGTTGATTAATTTTTGCATTCCCTGAAGTATTTTTTTTTCCCTTCTCTTTCAGGAATTGTCACAGCTTCTGCAGGAGCTTACTGCTCACACATTGCTGGATCAAGCTATAAAGTCCTAGTTTCTGATCCCTCCTAGGGAGGCTTGTGGAGCTCCAAACTCTGAGAGCTCACAGACATTTCAAAGGTGCTTCATTTATTCTCCAATGCTCTCCTCTGGAAGCTCTGTAGTTGAAAAGACTAAGGCCATGAAGGAAACTGATCACAGGTAACCCTCACTTTTTAAAAATAATGATTGGTAGAAGGGAACAACTTTTTTGAACACTCAGATATGAACTTTACATTTCAGTGGTCATATTTGAAGGTTGAGGGTTTTTGGTTGTGTGGTTTTTGGGTTTGGGTTTTTTTTTTATTGTTGTGGATTTTTTTAAACAGAAAACACTCATTTTTGGTGGCATAGACATGAAAAACATTCCCCGTAAAAGGTAATAAAACCCAATATGCCGCTATATAATAAAAAAAAAAGCTACTTATGATCTCAAAGATTTTTGAAAAATAGGTCATTGTAGAGTTCCATTTCTCTCATACTCAAAATTACTGAATTATCTGTCCTCTGAATAGCCTCGTATAAACTTCCACAGCATGTGGCCATTGTTTAAATACTGCACGGAAAATATTTCAGTTCTCTTTAATTTGCATCATTTTTCATATATTTTGACCTCAGCTTTCAGAGTTACAATGCAGCGATAGAAATCTTATAACCCTTTTAAAGGTATGCATGAGTACAGCACTATTTGATTTGTGAGAATGGAAAAATCTACGAGCAACAAAGACTATTTTTTTTGGCTATCACCTTCCTAGTCTTAAGGGCTAATTTTCTGTACAAGCTCATTGTTCTTGATCAGATACTGTAACGCGTTCACTTAAATGAAATGCAGTGCAGGGGACAAGTTGTTTTTCCTCCAGTCTGGCTCATTAATGGTTAAGATTTTAAGGCTTTTAACCTTCAACACAGAAATTACTTTGAATTTTATTATAAGCTTGTTCTCATTGACCATTTTGATTGCTGAGGTTTTAAAGGACACAACCAGAAACATTCCAGACCACATAATAAATAAAACCAATAAAATAAAGGTAACCATGTCTTTCAGAAGTTTATAAGGACTCCAGGAGATGAGCAGTTGATTTCTTCAAGCTGAGCAGAGAGAAGCATGAAATGAACTTCAGCTTGCAACAAACTAGTGTTAAGACAGACATGTAAGAAAGAACATGTCCCATTTTAATACTACTTAATACTGGGATGGACAAGGCATTTTAACAGCAAAGAAGAAGATCCTGCAATGGAGGAAAGCCTCTACTCTAAAGTGATCTGGAGGCATCAATTACTTTAAGTGATGACAATTTTAGAGGTCTATACATGCTCAAATGTAGTTTCTATTTTAAAGCACTATAAACAGTCTATTGTAACTGAGTGGAACAATATTCCATTGATTCTTTAGAAAATAAACTGAAGAAAACTCTTAGAAAAAACAAGTAGAAAGCTTGCTACTAGCTCTAGTGATAAACTTATTAGTTTTCACTCTATGCAAAGGAAATGGAACAATATTAAGGTGAATGAATTTAGGTGTAGATCAAAAAAATGAAGGATTATGCTGCCAGGGAGTGAAGGATTATCATCACTTACCTCCCTCATCCAGAAGCTTCCCACTCAGGGGCTGGGATGTATCTGAAGAGTAACATGTAATGGAAATTTGTAGCATTAAATTAACTGCAGCTGATTGGAAGCACCTGATGGAGAAGAGGTGAGAATACCTGCTGTTTTAGAAGTGTGAATAGGATAATCCCCAAACCTGACTTTCTGGTCTTCTGCCCTGACATTAACTATCAAGGTTAAAATTTCTCTGAACACTGGAAAAGATACTATTATAGTCAGTTACAATAAGCTACTAGAGAGTAGTTTTCCAGACCAACAAAAAGAAAAAAGGCTTAAGTTATGGTTTTTAACTGAAACCATAGCCTCATGACACCAGTACTCAAATAACCAGGCAATACGCTTAGCATCAAAAGGAGATACAAGTTTTCATTGATCGGTACAGTGACATAGCAAATAAACCCAAAACAAACCAAAGCACACCTATCAGCTCCTCAGTAGGCTATTTAAATATGTAGGTCAAGGCTACAGAAAACAAAATCTTACCTAGTAAGTGTGTACTCCCTGAGTCCTGAATGCAGGTTCATGGCGGAAAAAGTACCTATGCATCCACGCAATCGTTTATCTCGACCGATCTTCCATGTTACAAACAGTGGGCTGTTTCAGGGAAAAAAAAAAAGACATGATCACAGAAGCAATATTGACAGTCTGCATGAAATATCAGCAACAGTGCCCTTCCACTTTGGGTAATGGGGAGCCATATCTCTAAAATAACTGCATCTGAGCAGGCTACCGTATTTAGAAATGTCCTTTGCAATTCTTTTGACTGTTCTAGAAACATTGCTCTTGTGATAAAATAGAAAATAAGATTACTAGAATAGTTAATGGACAGAATGAAATGGCTTGATTAGGCTTCTCCTGTGGATAAGAAAAGCCTCGTCTTGGACATCTGTATATATGCAACCCTTTACAAAAGGGAAAAATACCCCTGTCACAGTAGCCACCCCTCCACCTGAGCACAAATACTGTTGTCCTTAACGCTGCTGGCAAGAAACTACCAGAAATACTTAGAAGACAACAAAATTTAGGAAAACTCTCCAAACTTAAAAAACTGCCTGAGGAAAGGGTATTTTCTCCATGAACCCAAGTCAGTATCTAAGAATATCAAAAATGACCAAGTGTGGAGCAAAATCTCTAGTAAGTTGAATATGTCTCAATTATACGAGTGTGACAGTTACAAAGAAACACTTTTACTATCAAACAATTTTATACGAATCTATACATGAAATTAACAAGAGACAAACCATACAACTTTTTGGGACCAAAGTTGTCCTTGCAGTTCTAGAGCATTGCATCAATGCAAAAAACCAGAAAACTACACAAACCTGAACTTCTCCAGGGAGTGCACTTAGCTCCTAGATATCCACTTCTCTCAACTCAAACAAAGATTTCTAATCCCGAGATGAACAGGGATGTATAGAGAAGAAAAGCATATAAAATTTACCCTTTTTCCAGATAGGAGACTAATTGAAGTGGATTACACAAACAAAAGTGCACTTTCCCTTACTGGTAGGCTTAAAAATATAAAATAAAAAATAAAGGCATTTCAGTTAAACAACTTGACACAGTTGTTCTTGAACACAAACAGGTTGCAGACCAAGCAACCCCACACCACACCACCACCCCCAGCTCTGAAGCATCTCCCCCTTAAATCCTGGTTCTAATTTTTGTGGAAAGCCACAGGCCCTTCAGGCATAAATATACATAATTCTTGATACGAAGACTATAGCCAGCCTGCACTAAATTTGACAGAAGCAAGGTGCACATCTGACATTCAGAGCACCTGCAACCACCACACACACACTTAAGGATGTGCAGCTGATTTCTCTCCAAAGCTGTTTGATCACACACCGCTCCTCAGAGGTACAAATCATCACGCTGAATTCATCTTGTTTTTCTTTATAAGTAAGGACACCATGTAGGAAACAGCTACATAGTCCACAGTCACTGCCATAAAGATCAAGAAGCCTAACATGAGGTAAAAGCAAATATAATTTTGCAAGTTTCTCTGTATTTCACGGAACAGAGCTTTCAAGCTATGCTATGCTATGATTCTTAAAATATACTAAGGCTGACAGCTTTGTTATGTGAGTAGATCAGTCACTGCACAACTGCCCAAATCACTGCGCAGTGTAACAGAGATGGATGTAACTGTACTGGGCATGTATATAGTGGGAGGGAGGTGGTTCTGGACTCTCAAGGAGTAGTCTCTATTCCTTTTCTCCTTCCATCCTGTTCGCTTTGTCTGGTGTGGCACGAGATATTCATCATGTGATGGCAGAAGAGGATATGCCTCTCAGCCCACTGCACCAAGGCAGCAGCGTCCCATCCTCTCACAGCTTTCCAAAAGCTATTGTTATCGCCTGCTGGTAGAGCAACTTCCTCCGTATTTGAATAAACCAGACAAGTTCCCTTCTTTCAATGATGATGAATAGAAGAGGAAGCTGAAGTCATACTTTCTTTTGGATTTGGGTTTCCTTTTATTTTTTTTTGGCCACCCTCCCCCCACTCCACCCCCCTTTTTGTTTTGGTTTTTTAAAATTGTTTGATAAAAACTGAAGAGCATAAAGCCAGAAGGGACTATTACCTAACATTTAATAGAATCTAGATCATCACAATATTCTCCCTTCAGATCAACAAGTGGCATTTTACCAGCATTTTCAAGAAAGGTATCCCAGTTCCCCTAAATGGTATCAACAAAATTATTAAATTGCAGTGGCACTGAAGGCAATCTCTCCCCTTTCATAGACACAAGCCCAAATAAGATTCAAATTGGACTTTAGGATTATTCTCTTGACCTTTATCTTTGGATTATAAGATTTATTAGCTGTAATACACTTAGTGGAGGGCTATAATTCATGGAAACATATACGCATTTACTTTCTTGTCAAAATGGAATTCTTTCTAGGATCCATCGTTACTGCTATTTTAAAAGGGCAATAGAAGAACATGTCCAAAAACCATCATCGAATGTCAAATAGATTACTGAAACATTTGCATACACTTTGAAGGTCCTCATCAATGAGTACCAACAGAAAAGGTAATGGTTATATACATATATTTTTGTACCAGTGGTGGTAGTAGTGTAAACATACCAATCGGACTAAATTTAAACCTCTGTCCGTTGGGTAAATGAACCACCACTTGTGGCTGTACACCACAAAATCTAACTGAAGATGCTTTTCCAACCTTTCAATTTCTGTACTCCCCAACATTTGCATCCCTGTTCCCCAGGAGCCACTAAAGGTATCAGCAAGGCTACACAGAAGATATAAGCCCATCAAACAGAATTACTTTTCTTAATTACTATCATAGATGTCTTCAAAATGTAACATGGACCAAAGGTTCAGAGCAGGTTCTCAATCTTAAGATTTGAGAAACAAGGCTGAGTGGGACCTTCAGGGCTCCTCTTGTCTTAAGGAATAATTACATAATTCTGCTCATAAATGATCCACATTCTGCATCGTAAAAATTATGAGAAATAACAGGGACAAAAACCCCAAAATGAAAAATGATAAGGCTGCCTCAAAACCTCATTCTGAACCTCTGGAAACATTCTGATTTCCTGCCAAAATGTTTTCCCAGTCAGCTTGGACCTAGCTATTCTTGTGCCAACATTGTCCTTTAGTTTAAACAGTTCTCTTCCCTTCCTGGTTATTATTCCCCAAAGTATTTATAGAAATAATTCATAAGGCTCTTCAGACTTCACTTTTCTGAGCTAAATGGGTTGTGTTCGTTCAGATTCTTCTCAAAGCTCTTCTCTATACCTTCTTCCAGTTTAAATTCACCTTCTTGAACATCAGTGTCAAGAGCTGTACAAAGAATTACAGAGGAGGGTCTCACGCCTGTATTAATGCTTCCACCTCTGAACTACACTGACTGCTATATTTTTTGCTTTACAGAGTATTTGTCATCTTACACTAAACAAAGACAACAGGAAACCTGCTCATAGAACCTAGACAGGTTATGCAGAGAAAAGAATTGATTTCTTTCTAGTTGTGTTCTTTCACTTTTTATTGGCATCCTTGGTTTCAGCTGTTTGCCTATTTTCTCCAAATCTGCAATGCTTTTCTTGTGTTTTAAAGCCAGTAATAACCCAAAAATGAACCTGCCATCTAACATAACTGAAAATCTGAGATCTGAGGCTATGTGCCAAGCTCCACAGATCTCGATGTCAAGAACAGCTAAGGAAATACATACAATTTCAACTAAAAGAAAAAAAAAAAGTCTTCTTGCTTTTCTTCGAATGAAAAGAGGCAGTTTTTTGAGGAAAACAATATTAGACCTAAAATGAAAATTTTCACCTCCAAGCACTTGAAAGAAAAGAGAAGAGAATAACAGAAGAGAAAAATCTTCAGTAAAAAGCAGAAAAGGTGGCAGATGTGATGCTAGGAGTCTGTTTTATCCAATTACAGACAGCAAGAATCTGCATCATATACTGGAGATCTGAGTCCTCTTTTTGCCTAAAGAAGTTTGAACCCATATATCCCACAAGAATGGGAGAGCATAATGGGGTTGAGGGCACTCACCTTTCTGACTGTCTCCCTCATGATCTAGTATCTAGATGATTGGTTTGGTTTTTGGTTATTTTCTTGTTTGTTTTTAAAAAAAAAAAGCCAAAAAACATTCACCAAACAAGATGCTGCTCTTCCCTGGGAGGGCTCTAGCAATCAGCTTCAAGTAGTTCTCTTACCCAATTTAGGGTGAAGCATCTTACTAAAAAGCAAAACAGCTCCGAGCTTGGGAATGAGCCCTCTTGAACCAAGAGACTTCAAAATTTACTTGTCTGATGGCTTCTCCAGCTGCTCATGGTGGTGCCAGGAACCTCTGACATATCCTGCTGACAGTGTTAACAACAGGAGTGATGCAGAGCACCCCAAATACTCAGTAGCTGAAAGTTGGTAGAAGACATTTCAAACTGTACAGAAGGAGGGACCAAATCCAGACCCTTAGAAGCATCTGTAAATACCTTAATCATTCTTCTTTCATAAAGTTCTATATTTTTGATTAGTTTTTTGCTTGTGAGCCAGACACTGAAAAAATGTTTCCATCTAAAACTCTTTACAGGTGCCACAACAAATTCACAAGCAACCACAGGACTATAAACTTTCCACCCAGTCATTGCCTAATTTGCTATTAATTGAAAAGTCTTGCCCAGCTCTAATCTAAATAGCAGGCAATTGTTTTAGTTATTTGCTATAGAGGTCGTGAGGCACTACTCCTTGAAAACCAGCTGATCATATATATTGTTTTTCCCTCCTTTCAGTTGCAACAAACTAAGAGTTTAAGCTAATATTGCTACCTTATATACAACTGCTGTCATCAAAAGGGGCATTTATATACAGACTGTCTCCTTGACAGAGTACTGAAATATTTGCATGTATCCAACACCCTAAACACTGACCTTAGACGCTAGCGAGAAAATGTGTGGCAGAAGCACAACAGCATGGGTCACCAGATCAGAGTTCTGCCCAATGTGTCACTTCAGCTACTATTATGTTATTTTCATTAATGAAGAAAGTAGGACAGCCCTGTACTTTATTTGAACATTAATCTGTTACAATTTCTGGAGAATTGGAGCACTTCATATGAAGGTC